ACTGTACTTCTGCGGGAGATTTCCCCACCTGATTAGGCCCCTGCAAGCTCTCTATAGTGATTTCTTCTGTAGTGTCACTCCTAGATTGATGATTGTTCTCAGACATCTTGGAGCTTAGGTTGGATGTGTGGATAGAGAATAACAGCCAACATTGTTGCAGAACAGATTATATTTGTCCTGTTGTAGTTGTAGTCTGATATCACTCAGTTAAGGACAGACAAGTTTTTCATTCATGACATTTAACAAAAAGGCCTATGAGACCTTAAAAATTACAACCCAATCAACTGGCATATTTCTAGCAGGAATAATGAGAAAATTGTGGATGAAGGGTGAGGGGATGTGTAATACTCCTGCACTAATTCTCGACCGTGATTTGTACTGAGTTGATAAGTTAGATATTTAAGTTAAGATCCAATTTAACTCCTTTGATTTTGGTTATAGGTCTCTTAAGCTTTTATAGTTTATTCATGTCTAAAATAACTCATATATTTTTAAAAATATAACATATAAGTATTTTTTATTAAATCTAAGTTAATAGACGTTAGACTCTATTTACATTGTATGCTGACTCATAATAAATCATTAATATAATAACATATATAATTTATAATTAAAGTTCATTTTAACCCCTATAATTAACAGACGTTAAGTTTAAAAATACTAATATATCTATCAATAGCGGGAAGGAACACCATCGTGGAAGCAACAATGGCTCACAAGGCGTCAGAAGCTCCGGAGCTTGTCATCAGCATAGGAGAGGCTACTGCATGCGATGCTCTACTAGGTAATAGCGGCTTGATGTTGCTACTAGTGATTGTTTCTATGATGATGTCTCAAGAAAACCCGTGAAGAAAAATCCACTATGACGATAGCATAGGCCCAAATGGGCTTGAGACTTGTGAATTAGGAAAACTTGATCCGTACCAAAGAAAAATCTGCTATGGCAAAAGCACAGACATAAATGGGCCAAAGATACATGAGTTGGGTTTTGGTAAATTCGTCATGGCAACATAGCCACAAAAGCGTTCGAGATACGTGAGTCGAGAAAACTCAACCCAAAATCCACTATAACAAGGCACAAAACCAAATACACTCGAGACACATAAGCCAGAAACTCGACCCGTGTAAAAAGAAATCTGCTATAGTGGAGACGCAAGACCAAATGCGCCCGAGACGTATATGTTGGGAAAACCCGACCCACATCAAGAAAAATTCATCATGACAAAGACGTAGGACAAAATATGTTTAAGGTGTACAAGTCAGAGAAATCTGACCTACACCAAGTGAAATTCGTTATCGCAAAAACATAGGGTCAACATACCCAAGACACTTGAATCAAGAAAATCCGACCTATAAGATGAGATCCCTAATCATATGAACTAAATGGCATGCTTCGAACCCATCTCGTAAGAGCTCCGCAATATACCTTTGGGGAGGAGACAAATGATAGAAAATCTATTGTTAGCCAATATATGGTTGTCATGTGAGATCCAAATCACCGTCCACCCATGTGCCTACATGGACGAAGATTTAAAACAAGAAAACACAAGCTTCCTTCTCGTTCATTATGATACGGAAGGTAATTAAAAACTTTCTTATTTTTCTTTATAACAAGAAAAATAATCCCAAGCTTCCTTTTCATTTGTATAAAATTATATTTTAAATAAGGGGAGGCTCTCTTTTTTCAAACTATTCAAACTCATATTTGGGAACATCAGATTACTAACTTGAACTTCAGAGGGATCGGATCGAGAAACCTCTCCCGACCTCGGTCTTCATGAAGACAGATCCTCGAAAGTACAATATTTTCATCTTGGATAATCTTACGCACATGTTTAGACTATATCAAGCTAACCAACACGTCAACAAGATTCTTCTGACAATAAATTTACACTAAGGTAGCATTGATGTTAATTTTTTCCTTAATAATTTCTATGTAAAAAAAAATTACTTGGATACAATTTTATTTCTAAATTCAAATTTTGGTGTGCATGAAACTAAACAATTCATTTTCTGAAAGTGATACTTCCCATTGGCAACAATTCAAGATTAATTTGTTGCACATCAAAGGAGACATCGGAGCATAGTCTCACGGCATTCTGTCGTTCCTCTCATTCAGTGTTTTGTACCACTGGAATCCATCCCTAGGAGCTAACGCATTAGCTACCCTCCAAGTTTCCGATTGAATGCTGTGGACCAGACTTGATCTACGCTTACCTAAGCAAATGCAATAAAGAAGATAAACACTTCACTATATTTTTATGGATATACCATTAAGTACATCTGGATTCAATCTCTTTGCCACATGCCGTCATCGAAGTTCCCATCTGATGCGTTATACATCCATTTCTTTGCGAACTTTGCTTAGGGTTGAAGAGACCTATCCTTCTTCTGATCCCATGCAGAACACTCAATCCAATGAACTCAGGCCATTATTATTCATTCATGATGTATACTAGCTCTTCACAACCCTAACTTCAAGGGCTCTTCCCTTCTCTCTCTAAATCTCTCCACAGTTCTGTGTGCCCATTGCATGTGGATGATGCTTCCCGCTGAATCCATCACTTACTGCAGGTTAATTATCACCAATCCCGAAGTCACCTTGTCTCTCCATTGTTTTGTCTTCCATTTATTTGCTCAACAACATTGATATCTGTCCATTAACTTACAGCAAGAGCTTACTTCCATGTGATCTGCAGGAGAAGCGGAGTAAAACAAGCTGTTTTGCTGCTTCATATCTGAGTTACCCAATGGCTGGATGACTTATCCTTGGCCTGTATACAAAGTAACCCTAGCTATCCTTCCATTTTCTACTCTGAACACCCACCATTGCATGAGCTTGCCAAGCTTCTGCACGTTAGGAATGGTTCCAATCTAAGCAACTTTGAGGTGCTATATAACTTGACGATGAATGAGCCAACTGTGTCAGCTCAAGCGGATTCTCCAGCAAGTCATTTCAGAAAGCTTTTTGGACTGAATCATTCTGCATGTTTCAGATTTCTTTCTCTAAATAAAAAAATCTAAATTTTGACGGAAATACACACGGCCGTACATGACCGAACACCCAAAAATCAAGTTTAGAAGGTCAACCTCTGGTCGAAGTATGAACTATTTTGGTGGCATGAGCAAAAAGGACTAACCAATTGAAAATAATATTCCTTTATATCCAATAAAAGAAGATATTAGCATTTGTGTATCTCGAATCAAGCTCAAAATTCTCTGGAGTAGGAGGAGGAGTCTACCAGATAATGATATGCATCGTGACTTTAGAATGCATGACCCATTGTCTAGATTCATGATCCATTGTCATGTGATAAGGATGCTTGAGTCTGAATCATTCATTCAAAAACATTTAAGCTCATATTAATACTTAAAGCTAAGTTAGACCTTTGTCCACTTCCGACTTTGACTAAGTTAGACCTTTGCTCACACAGACCAACAACTAAGGCATGTTGTTGACAAAGGCATATGAAGCACAGGCCCTCCTTGTACACTGTTGCTTTCAGTAAACAGATCTCCACAGTAACGCTTGTCGACATTATTCTGGTGCCCACAACATGAGGAATTGTGCAGCCATGGCACTGTGGGCGTGGCCAGTGGTAGGTGGCCACTGCACGGAGAGAGAGACAGAGAGTGTGTCTGCTTTGCATTGCCGCACTCTGACAAGCTTTCCATACACGTAATGTTCACGAGGGGATGACGTGGAGAGATCAGAGCGTAGAGTAGAGGAGCTCTTTGTCCAGCGAATGGGAGATCCGACAGTCCTACCCAGAAACAATAGAGACGAAGAACAGATAGAAGAGGGAAAACTTCTCATGCGTTTGATCTGATTCATTTGCTGCATGATGAAGAACATGAAGTACGTACGTTCGCCATCAACAAAGCTCTTGTTGTGGTTCTTGAAGTCTTTACGTGCAGCTTTCTTGGAATTCTGTGATCATTGTTTGCCAAACAAAAATAGAGACCTCATACTTAGATTATTCATGTTCTTATAAGCAGGCAGCCACACCACCATTAATCTTGTTCCTGACTTACCACAAAAACCTACTACTCGATGATTGAGTCCATATACTATTTTCTTCTAATTATACACTGGAATGGTACTTTAGACACTCAAAAAAGGGATAGAGCAGGAAAAACACAAAAGGTGGCATTGATCATGGGCAGTGGGGTCCTCCTTCAAGGTGAAAGGGATGTTTGACATGACCAAGGGTGGGTCCCTTTTGAAGCCCTTTTTTTGTGTGTGTGTGTTGGGGGGTATAGAAATGCATTTTTCTTTTTGATATAGTCGTATTCTGTAATTACAAGGATAATGTGTGTCAAATCACATCATTAGAACATAATCGACTTCCTCAAATCCCTCACAGATCAATCGTTTGTATATTACTTCTTTATTGACATACGTTCAGTTCTCATGCAAAACGAGATGTAGATTATATATAGTTATTTATATTCATTAATAGTCGTCATATATATATGTATTATTGCTTGTAGCCATTATATTTACTTATTTTCTTTATATATATATATATATGTATTATCTATGGACATTTTTAATTGGGGACGATAAAAATGTATTAAATGGCTAACAGAATTCAACATCAAGTAGCCACCTTTTTCGATCCTAACAAACCAAAAACAACATGCGAAAATTGTTCTTAACCTATTCAATCGCCACATTATTCTGAATCGAATCGTTTTGATTGGATTGAACTCCAAAATGATGTATGATTGACTCGACTCGAAACGGATTCATAATCCTTGATTTTTGATCGTAATTATGAACCTAATTGTCACGATTGGCCGATTCAAATCGGGAATTAGGCTTCAGAGATGCACAATTTGATTCGTGTTAGGCTCCGATTGAATTTTTCCGACTTAATTTAGCCCAAAAGATCAAAAAGGAGGAGAATTTTGGGGGCGTGGCGTTTACCAATAAATAATATGATCGGAAGCTGCTTCGCTCTCAGAGATATAAAACCGGAACAGGGGAAACAGAGCACGCTCTTTAGTCTTCTCGATCGCAGAAGAGCCAGAGAAATGGAGATCATCGCGAGGAGGAGCTCCGCTCCGCTTCTTCTTCTTCGTCTTGCCTTCCTGTACTCTCTCCTACTGCAAAGACCCGTTTTTGCTGCCAGGAAGGCATTTTCTTGACTCTCTTCTCCCACTCGTTCCTCGAAAGATCGTATTTTTCTGGTTCTTTGCCTTTCGCCTTCTGAAGACGAATCTTTGACGCAGGCGTATGTGGTGTACCTCGGCGAGCACTCGCACGGGTCCGGATCAGCGTCTTCCTGGGAAGGTTCCAAGAGAGCAACCGAGTCTCACTATGAGCTGTTGGGTTCAGTGCTGGAGGAGTAAGCAATTCTAATAGAAATTTTGGATTTTGGTTGGTCTGTTTTGTTCTGATTGGAATATGATGTTGTTGATCGAGAACAGCAAGGAGAAGGTCCAAGACGCAATATTTTACTCCTACACCCACAACATTAATGGCTTTGCAGCTTACCTTGAGGAGCAAGTGGCACTGAAGATATCGAGTAGCATTTCGCTTCCTACCCCATTTCCTTCTCCGGTATTCTTCAGATCTTTATATGGTTTCATTCCAACATTGGTTTTTGTTCCTGTCGTAGAGTATCCTGGAGTCGTTTCAGTGTTTCCTAATCGAGGATACAAGCTCCACACCACCCATTCGTGGGAATTCCTGGGCCTCGAGAGGGATGGCAGAGTTCCAAAGCAATCACTGTGGAGAAAGGCTCGGTTCGGCGAGGACACTATCATTGCAAATCTTGATAGCGGTATCACAATTCGGTTCTAGCTTTGACTTGTTGCTGAAAAGCTCTCATCCCTACTGCCAGAATAACTAGTTCTTTCATAGCTTCTGTAATCGTTGTCCTTTACACATCGTCTACATCACAATGCCATTCCTCATGTGCCATTGATGGGATCTTTTACCTTCTATTTCCTTCTTTGACGATAGATAATTCACTGGTTTATTGTCTAAGATGCTCAGAATTTTCGTTTGCTGCAACTAGATAAGATAAAGCATTTGATTTGTCGAGGGGGCATTAATTGTCATCTACTTCGAGTCCTTCACATCAAGTATTTTAATCCAGATTCTGAATCTAACCCATGTTCTATCGATCTGAGATGCGATGCCCACATGCTGGTCATCGATTTCACAAAACTTGGCGTTTGTCAAAGGAGAACTCACTGATTAAATGCTCTACCAATACAAGCTTTTACTGGTTTTGGTTTGGCATCATCACTCATATGGACTGCAAGCTAAATCTTCTGAGCTCCATTTGATTGAACTCTGGATGTGTAGGTGTGTGGCCGGAGGCTCAAAGCTTCAAGGATGATGGCTTGGGACCAATTCCATCAAAGTGGAAAGGAATCTGCCAGAATGACTTTGATGAAAGCTTTTCATGCAACAGGTCTATTTCTGCAGTCTTTACTTCCTCAGCTTTAGAATTTATTCTGGACCAATAATTGGTAAAGGCACTGCCCTTTCTAGTAGGTGCATGCCACTTCTCCCTGTCTTTCCTCATCTTAAAATCTTGTAGACAGATAAAAGAGTAGAACCATATTACTACTATATAATGAACAGCTTACGAACTCTTTTTGTTCCTCTCTTCATTATGTCTTACTAGCATCACATTACTCAAGAGTCTTTTCCAGTAATTGTATTGATCTTGTTAGTTCAATATTTTTCTAGGTAAACAGTAGTAAATCAAGTAGGCTTTGCTGTTTCTGCACCTCTGTCAAGGTATTACTGTTCTTTGTAGACAGTGGGGCAAGAAAGCTCCTATAAATGTATAAAGCATCATGAATATGCACAGTTATCTGGATTCCCATGATCTCAGTCATCCAAATTAGCAGTATCAACCTAAAATGTTCATCTCCTTTATCAGGAGGGAGAAGATTTCGTATAGCAAAGTGGCATTCTATTTGCATTGGCCATTTTTAATTTCTGAATCTTATGATATAGTACTCCTATCATTAGGCCATCAAAGTGAGTTAAATTCTTGTCAGCTACAGCATATCAGAGTCAATCATTCTTTTCGTTTACAAGTGCACACCATCCTAATGTATCCAAATCTGTCTCTAACCCTAAGCACTTCTTCCAGGAAATATCTGGCACAAGAGAACCTTACTGAAAGAAAATTGATTAGGAATGACAAAGTTAGTATCCAGTTCAGATGCTTCAGCTTTTTTTTCTTCTTGTTATTTCACTGAAACAATATTAGAATCCATCTGCTAGCACTAATGAATGTTCAATTGTTCCAGCTAAATGTCAGAAGATAAGAAAACAAAAAACAAAAAGATTGTGAAGCAACAATGAGTTATTGTTGCAGTTGTGAAAATATTCCAACACTTGGAGAATATTTACAAGTCCTATGTCTATTTCCGATGATATTTCCCTTTCTTTTAAGAATTGTCTGTTTCTTCAAAGTCCGCAAAGAGGCCAAGGAAGGTGGCTGTAACTTGAGATCCATAAAGAACCTTCAATGTCTTCCTTCATATAATATGGTTCATGTGGCATTGCTTTAATGTGGATCCATTCCTGCTGCAAGAATAGCAGCAAAGGAGGAACACTTCCCATTTGCCCATGTCTACAGGAGCCAGCTTGGTCTCCCAATAGAATACAACTCCAGAGGGTCTGCACAATCCACCATACCATTCTTTTCTACTTTGGAAAGCAGCACTCCATGTTCCAGATCCAAGTATTTCTAAGTTATCATTAATTGTTCTTTATATCTTTGACTTTAGATCGGCAGATCTCTCCATCCAATCACACATATTTTAGTAATTCCAGAAAGAAGATATTACGAAGAAGAAGACAAAGAAGACAATTCTACATATCAGCTTACTCATATACGCTATATATACGTGTACACGTACACGTATACATAATGTATACTCTTACATGTTTTCTGCATTCACGCATGCAGCATTGTAGAAACTATCATGGCAGCTTCCACTGAAACAATGGATCTGTCACTTGGATCAGCTTCTGGTTCGTTGCAACATATGATCGATCTTGTGAGGCCTTCTCTCATCTCTACCAATCTCGAATTCTTGGATGCAGGAAGCTGATCGGAGCGAGGTACTTCAACAAGGGCTATGAAGCCCTGGTTGGGCCACTCAACGCCACCTTCAAGTCTCCGCGAGACTACGACGGGCACGGGACGCACACCCTCTCCACCGCCGGCGGCGGGTTCGTTCCGAGCGCCAACATCTTCGGCTACGGCAACGGCACGGCCAAGGGCGGCTCCCCCTGGGCCCGGGTCGCTGCGTACAAGGTATGCTGGCCGCCGGTGAACGGCAGCGAGTGCTTCGACGCCGACATCCTGGCCGCCTTCGACGCGGCGATCCGTGACGGCATCGACGTGATCTCCGTCTCGCTGGGTGGAGACCCGGTGGACTATTTCCAGGATGGGCTGGCCATCGGGTCGTTCCACGCTGTGAAGAAGGGGATCACGGTGGTCTCCTCCGCCGGCAACTCGGGGCCGAACCTTGCCACCGTCTCAAACTTGTCTCCTTGGATGTTTACTGTGGGAGCAAGCACCATGGACAGGCAGTTCCCCTCTGTTATTGTCTTCGACGACAAGAGGATTAAGGTTGTGTTCCATCGTATCGACTCTGCTTTTGTTCACCAGATCATCACATGTCCTTGACATGCACACCCGTCTCACTCTTTCTTCCGTGTTCACAGGGAGAGAGCCTATCACCCAAGGGATTGCCAGGCAAAAGGCTCTACCCATTGATCAGCTCTGCAGAAGCCAAACTGGTCAACGCATCAGCACGGCAGGCGTAAGTGAACAGTCATAAAGTCCTCCTCGATGCAACATGATCGTTAAAATGTAGCAACTACAAATTTACATGCTCTCTCTTTCGATTCTGCAGTAGGTTGTGCTACTTGGGATCTCTGGATCCAGCAAAGGTGAAGGGGAAGATTGTTGTATGCCTCCGCGGCATCACTGCGAGAGTGGAGAAGGGAGAGGCAGTTCATCAGGCTGGTGGCATTGGAATGGTTCTTGCAAATGATGTCGACAACGGGAATGAAATCGTAGCCGACGCGCATGTCCTCCCTGCAACTCACATCACCTACTCTGATGGCCTCACCCTCTTCTCCTACCTCGGAGCCACCAAGTAAGCCTTCCTTCATCCTCTGCAATGAACCATAGTCTTGTAACTTTGACGGTCTGGAAACTTATGTTCTGCAATTAGGTCACCGCTGGGTTACATTACGAGGCCGAAGACAAAGCTCGGAGCAAAACCAGCACCGTTCATGGCAGCATTCTCCTCCAAAGGCCCAAATACCATCACTCCTGAGATCCTTAAGGTTTGTACCTTCTCATGGTTGGTGATGCAGTCCGCTTAATTTCATTGTTTAGCTGAACGAACACCTTCCCCATTGCGTGCAGCCTGATGTCACTGCACCAGGTGTGAGTGTTCTTGCTGCCTACTCTGGCGCAGTCGGGCCTACGGGTCTTGTCTTCGACGGTCGTCGTGTTGCCTTCAACGCCGAGTCCGGCACCTCCATGTCCTGCCCCCACATATCTGGAGTTGCAGGCCTCCTCAAGACTCTCCATCCAGATTGGAGTCCCGCTGCGATCAAATCTGCAATTATGACAACCGGTAAGGATTCTGCGTAATCCTCGATCCAAGCTGCTACCTTTGGCACAAGCTTGATTTCCTTTCTCTCGACGCAGCGAGGACACGGGACAACATGAAGGAGCCGATGCTGAACTCATCCTTCAACAAGGCCACCCCGCTCGGCTACGGCTCCGGCCACGTACGGCCGAACCACGCCATGGATCCCGGCCTGGTCTACGACATGACAACGACCGACTACTTGGACTTCCTGTGCTCCCTCGGCTACACCACCGCCCAGCTCGCCATGTTCAACGGCGAACCGTACGCGTGCCCCTCCACGCCGCTTCACATCAGAGACCTGAACTATCCGTCGATCACCATCCCTGACCTGCAATCCTCCACGAAGGTGGCTCGCGTGGTTAAAAACGTTGGCCCGCCGGGCACGTACGTGGTTCGGGTGGTGGAACCGAGAGGCGTCTCGGTCACCGTGAGCCCGGCAAGCCTTACGTTTGAGAAGGTCGGTGAGGAGAAGAGATTTGAAGTCACTGCGGGGATCAAAGAAGGGAAGACAGATGGTGGAGGGTATGTGTTTGGTGGGCTGATATGGTCGGATGGCAAACACTATGTGAGAAGTCCACTGGTGGTGAAGTGCTCCAGCAGCTCATGGGAGCCTTGAGAACGACAAGGGATAAGATAGTAGTAGGATTCTGGCATTCTTTTCTTGTGGTTTTGTGATTCTTGTGCACTGGATTTGTGCCAGTCTGGTGGTTGGATTCATTGGAAGATGAATAAAGCTTCACAAGATCTAGCTTTAGCCGAATTCTACCATTTCTTCTGTCTGGTACACATGATGTGTATGTAATATTTGAATGGAAGTATATTACAAAGAAACTTATAAGACAGAAATGAAAACATATACATATAATAAATACTACTTAAACTTTAAAGGTTATTTTAGAGAGAATTTTTAATTTGGTTGATTTTTTTAAATAAAATGCTTGTATTTTGAGTTTTTTTTTCTTCGATCGGTACTCTTCTTTTTTTTTTTTTTCCACAAACAATATTTTTTATTTAAAAATATTTAAAATACTCTTACATTTTTATTTATTTATTTTTTATCAATTGTAAATTATTACAGTATTTTCTCGTTTATAATATTTTTCAATAGCATTTATAGTGTACCGAAAACACTAAAATATACTATAAATGTTATTGAAAAATATTATAAGTGATGTCATATTATACATCTTTGGACTATTACGATATCATATTTTTAAACTTATAATTGGAAATAGGAGTTTATTTGGATCATTTAATAGTATTTTTGAGCAGATTTGATGGTGTTTTTATTGTGGTGGCTAATATAAAACCGTAACTCAAACAAATAATTTTGATTCTGTTTTGAATCGATCAAACATCTCTGTAAATAATAAATTTGTTCCTCCTTCCAACAACATGATGATAAAAAGTTAATCGAAAGAGTATTTTAAAAAACTAAAAAATTAAAATTAATTTTTGTTAAAAAAAATTAAAATTGAAATTAAATACTAAATATTAAATATTAAAAATCAGTTCAGTTTCTATTCCAAATTCGATAGAATCATAATCGTAGATTGTAGAACCAAAACCGTCGGATCTAAAATTAAGTTATCATAAAGGGCTTTTTCGCATTAAAACCCAAACAAGTTTAGTAATGGCTTCATGGCCCAACCATGATGAGTTGTCTTGCCAAACAAGTCCACCCTACGGGTCGGGTACAGATTAATGCATTGGTGGAGATTTCTGAACCCGAACCCGAACCCGATTACAAGCGGCCTCTTCCTGAAAACTTCACCTATTCTGCCATGTCTTCCCAATTGTGTTCTATTTTCCGCTTCGATTCCCCTTCCAACAGGTAATCACTCCGTCTCCTCTGCACAAGATCATGTTTCTCATTTGGATTTTGTTCCATGATTCTTCTGTGACATTCCTTGCCCCTCGCGATCCACTCGCCGATTGCCTGCAATATTTCCCTTGATACGTTCCATCAGATCCCTCCCTCTCTTCCCCCTTTTGATATCAGTCGGATCAAAATTTGAGATTTCTATGTTTCGTTGCTGAAAGTTCAGATTTTGACTTGTTTTTTTCTTGAAAAGGTGAGATCTTGGCATCTGGTTTGCGCCAAAGCTAGGGTTTTGGTCCGCGGGAATGGATCAGCAGCCTGGCCACCCCGCCCCTCCGGTGATCGGCGTCGCCACCGGGGTCCCCTATGCCGCCGCATCGGGCACCTACCAGGCTTACCAGAACCTTTACCACCAGCAGCAACAGCAGCAGCAGCAGCAGCTCCAGATGTTCTGGGCCGACCAGTACCGCGAGATCGAGCAGACCACCGACTTCCGGAACCACAGCCTGCCGCTCGCCCGGATCAAGAAGATCATGAAGGCCGACGAGGACGTGCGCATGATCGCCGCCGAGGCTCCCGTGGTGTTCGCCCGAGCCTGTGAGATGTTCATCCTGGAACTCACCCACAGGTCGTGGGCTCACGCGGAGGAGAACAAGCGGCGGACGCTGCAAAAGAATGACATTGCGGCGGCAATTAGCCGCACTGATGTGTTTGATTTTCTCATCGATATCGTGCCGAGGGAGGAAGGGAAGGAAGATGTTGCCCACGCTCTTGGAGCCCCACCTTCTGACCCCCTCTCCTACTACTATGTCCCAAAGTAGCAGCGGAGGCAATGTGAATCTGAGTAATCCCTCTGCATTCTCGTTTGCATGAATGGATTAGTGTGATTATAGACTTAGGTTATGGGGTTAAGCCTGTTGTAATGATGTTAACTGAAATCTAATTTCGACTAGAACTTGCTTACCATGGCTGGTGACTAGTTCTTGGTGGTGGTTTTATTGCATGTAATTTTATGACAAGCATATGTTATCTGATGTGCTGCTATAGATCTTGATTCTTTTAGGTTCGTTATCTGTGGATTAGCTAGAATCGCATAATTAGATTGATATCAACGGAACATTTACTTGCACAAGCATTTTGAGCAAAGAATTAGCTGACATAAGGAGCTTGAGAGATATTATCACTAGTGTATGTGATGTGTGCACTTGCAAGCACACCACGAATGATATGAATTAGAAACTTGCTTACACATTTTCTTTACTTTTCTTTGTCGAATGTGTTAGAACTATCTATATGTTCATGACGAGTATGACAATTAGCTAGTCACTGATATCTTATCTTTCTGCTCTATATAATCTTCCACACATGAAATGAGTGATATGTTATCTTTCTGATCTATGTAATTCAGGTGGTGTTTGTATTGCTTTTGCTAAAGCAATTTGTTTCCTTGTTTCAGTATCCTCTATATTTAGCTGATGTTGATGTCCATGTTCCTTTCTTGGATAGAGTAGGAAGTATGGTATGGACATCTGGTGAAACAGATGTGTCAAATGTGGGATAATTTACACTTGAATTCAAGTAAGGGAGGAATGGTTTCCGCATTCAAAACTTAAAAATCATGAAAACTGGATATAATAGTGCTATTTAGTCAACGAAGCTCATTCTCTTGTTAGCATCTTCATATTGGAGAATCAGTACCTTGTTCTTAGTTTATGGGTTGTTGTGTTCTGGAGCATATGCCTTTTTTTTCTTTATATTATCCACTGGTTTGGAACATTATTCTTAATTTTATTGGTTTTAGCTGATTTTTTGGAACCTAATTTGGTTTAAAAGTGAAACCTGCAACTGATCATGCTCTGCCTTTAAGTAAATGGAAAAGAAAAAAACAATGACAGTTCTTAGGTGATGATGTGCCAATGATCCATTGACTCTCAGTTTGGTACAGGTGTACATGTTCTTGTTTGTTTATACTGAAGTCATTTATGTTGTATACTCGTTTTTGGTAGATGAGAATGTTATCTTTTATGAACAGGTCATGTAGTTTTTGCACTGTTTCTTTCGGTTTCTTCTCTTGACATCACTGGGTTTATTAGTTTTCCTGAGAATATTGTGGTAATGTTAATGCATACGGAGGATTAAGGAAACTAGGCCATGCAGGATAGTCCCTGTGAGATGCGAAGTTAAAGTTATCAACTGCAGTAATTGGTCAAGTTCTGAAGTTCAAATGTTTCAAGGCTTAGTTGGATGTGGTAATATCGACCAACAAGCAATGCCATGAAGTTTGAATGAAACAGTCATTTGGTCTTTTGTAATTGGAACAAAACTTTCTTTGGTATGTTGTTTGACTGATATCATTAATCTCATTGAGAAGTACGTGTCAATAATTTCAAAAAAGTTCCTGCTAACTTCATTTTGAAACACAACTTGTTGTTGTCGGAATATGTTCTTTTGCGGCTTCGAGGGTTCTTATGTTTGACCCTTCTATTCATACATGCTTTCTACTTTCTTGATCTTGTGGTGGTGAGATATGCATTATTTGTGCCCTTTGTGAATGGAGACTTGAACTTGTTGTTGTCCGAATATGTTCTTTTGCGGCTTCGAGGGTTCTTATGTTTGACCCTTCTATTCATGCATGCTTTCTACTTTCTTGATCTTTTGTGCCCTTTGTGATTAGAACTCCAAATGGAGACTTGGAACTTGTTGATCATGATATGTGATGGACATGACCTTTTGTGTAACTCATGGCAAGCATGTTCTTGAATCCTGTACTTAGATCCAAAGGTCTCAATATTGATCCTTATATCCGGCATATGGATTGGTACCATTTTTCTTTGCTTTTGTTTTTGGCTGATACAGGTTGGTATCTATATTCTATTACATCGGTAGATTACCCAAATTGTTATTTGATGGTGTTAAGAGGCTCTCTATAGTCTTCTTAACCAACCAATCTGAATGATTTGTCTTACGGAACAGTATTTTTATTTCCAAGCAAATAGATTTTAGACTTCAATCTAATTAGTTAATTGAACCGATTAAGGATTTATTTGTTTTTTTCGATTTACTGACTCAGCATATGATAGTATATATGGCAATACAGTCAACGATACGTGGACAAAGCCCAGTCGGGCCACGTGGACATCGATCCAACACAGTCATGAGAGCATAAAAATATCGTTGCCGTCAAAAGATCAAATAATACGAAGAAATAGGAAAAATATCGAGGACTTATATGAAAAAAACAAATCGACCGCCACATCGTCGTGGGACCCACCTCTTGGGTCCGCGATCTCACGACGCGGCTCGGCTTCCCGGTTACCCCGTCGAAACAAGCTGATCCATAAAGGTCGATGGCCTCGGCGATCTCGTTGGCTTGCTCGAAGCTTACGTTGGATCGGTTCGTCCTCGAAAACCCGGGGTGAGAACAGAGATCGTTCCATGCTCTGATCCCTCGATCGCATTTTGGATGTCGTGCTTACCTTCGGGAGGCGTTTATTAACTTTCGGTGTTTCCCTCTTTGTTCTCTTGATCGCTGGTTGAAGGGCTTGACTTTTGTTGGGTTTTTGTTGCTATTTCGTAAAGATTTGATCTTTCTATTGCGTTTTTGTGCTTTGAGACTCCGATTCTTGACCCTTTTTCTGTTTCTAATTTCGAGGAAATTTGCCCCATTTCCTTCCTTTGGAGATTCGGATTAAGCACCATCAGAATATGCTCGTGTCTGTATGAATTTGTCGTTTGGGCTCTCGATGTTGCTTGTGCTTTGTCGATCATCTACCGTCGATTTGGAACCAAATTATTACCTATTTCGTAACGGTTTGTGTCGACCATCATTCCTGTAAAAGGTTGTTTCGATTAATGACAAGGTAGTGCTAGATTGTTTTGAGAATGATGTACCAATTAGAATGTTCTACCCTGATCGTGTTCAGGCTTATCTGATCTCTTATTTAGCTCCAGTTATCTTTGATTTAGCTCAAATTGTTCGGTATAGTCCGGGACTATAACAGTACAAATTATTGTAGTTTGATCTTCTTACATTTTGCATGAACTCATTTGACTTCTGATGGTTGTTTCAGCTGTTGAAAAAGAGTCATCTTCTTCGGGCTTTGTGGTGTCTCTGAAAACAAATGTTTTAGGATTATGCAGTTATGCTTTCGTTTTCTTCTGTTGTGTTTAAGACTTTGAATGGCTTTGAGATCACATTCATATATATGAACGGGCTCAAATAGAATTACTTACTCATCTTATTCATTCTTTTCTAATGACTTGAGAATGTAGGTCAAGAGAAATCTGTGATCAAAATTTGCTGAAGCAGGGATGAGCGGTCACAACTATGATCATGGGAAATCTACCTCGAGTAAAGATAATAGTTCTTTTTGATCAATCAATTTTACATTGAAATTTTCTGATTGCTTCAAACTATACTTGTCATGGATATTGTATTGACGGGAAATGCCATGTAGATAAAGTTTCCAAAGTTATCAAAAAGTGCATTATGTTTGTGAGACCAGGATGCAAATTGTATAAGACTGATTTATTCTTTCAAGATATTTGGAAGGAGATTTAGCCATCATATGACCACAAGATAGTTTACAACTCATCTTATTTTCTCTATATGTTCAATTCATTTTATCATTTACATATTATACTGGATCAATTAATTATCTAAGCACCATATTTGCTTCTTTTACAAATGGAATATTATATTGAATTATATATGATTATTTTTTTATCTGTAGTTTTGTCTGGACACACTTGCTCAATTATATATATATATACACTACACACAAAAAGACAATTTAATTATTTCATGAGGCATGAATTGGAAAAGAGATATCTCTTCACATGGTTGAGTATACTGCTTGACAACTTTATATATGAAATACATATTTGAATATTCTTACCAAAGGCTTTTGTTATGAGCCAAAGGACTTTATGCTCCAAATTTTGAGATTGTTTTGTCTGAAAATTATGCTTCAGTCTTCTGCTGGTTTTATGGGATATGAAGGACTAATCTTATTTTTGTAACAGGTAAGAGGCAAAAATTGAAGGAGTTGTTGCTTAAAAGTGATAACCGTATTTGTGCTGACTGTGGTGCCCCTGATCCGAAGTGGGCGTAAGTCATGACTGCAAATTTACTCTTAATTCATCTTGTTTTCTTATAACCTCAATATTATTGTGGGCTTTCAAATCTCAATATTCTTAATATTATATATATATATATATATATATATATATATATATATATATATATATATATATA